GGTAATTAGGTCTACAGTGAGACAATTTCTGTAAATAAAAAACAATCTCAGACTGTGAACAGTAAATCAATATATTCATTTGATATGTCAAGAGCATTGACCTCTTCCTGATTTAAAACAAAAATAGATTTAGAATGTTGCCAAGTTGTGTAGTGTCCAGATTTAGGCATTTTTATGATCTATTTTTATCAGGCATATTAATATGTACTTCATCTATTCACAATATTATAAATTCTAGTTATATATATATATATTCTTTTGTGATGCATGTCAGGTTTGTGCAGCTCTTAGCCAGCATAGTGTTTGAATTGAAAGAAATTGTATTGAGTCATGCATAATGGATAAAATTCCACAATATGATAGAAAATAATCAGAGATTGGTCTAGGTTTGTATTGGTTTGAATTCCTGTATACGGACAATCAGTTTATTAAAAAATCTGGCTGTTTAATGCCAAAAATAAAACTAGCTTTTGCTTCTTGTCATCGCAAGCATCAGTTTAAAACCTGCATCTCACACATTTTTGGGGGGAGAATTTTATGTAGCACTAAAGTGTGCCACATATGGTTGAATATAGAAATGTTTTATTTTTTGTTTCAGACGATGTTTTGTTGCTCCAAATCCTTTTAATGCATGTATTATTTAATAAATCATTATTATGAGCAAGCCAGGACTTAAAAACGAAAGTTGACAGTAGGCACTTAAAACATTGAGTTTATAGTTTCTTATGGTAAAAATATAATCTCAATACAAAAAAATTAAAACGGTATTAATCGTAATTTTCTCTAGAGCAAGAAGCACAATTTCCTTTTCTTTTTTTGACAAAAAGATTATTGATGTTGATGTGCTGCATGTTTTAAAATTTATATGAAAACAAAACTATGTACTTCACATGTGTTGTATACGTTGTTACATGGGTCCCATACCGAACACCTGACAATGAAAACTGCCTTATAGCGTATATACTTGGTCAAGTCAATGTAAAAGTACCAGCTGCATGGGGCTAACAGGATTAAGATTAAAGGGTGGTGTTTTAATTTCATGTAAATAAACAATGTATTTTACACGCGTTGTATACGTCGCTATGAGTCCCATATCGAACAGGAGGCGACACGACGACTGCCGCCCTTTAAAGTATACATTTGTACAATGTACAAATCTGCAGACACAGTACTTATAGGGTTCTCAACAGATAATTTGCATATCAATGAACCTGGTAATTGTTGTTCGTGTCTGGATATTGTAGAGAGCATTTTTTTGTGAGAAAGTGATCATTCTGGCACTTAGTTTTATTCTTGTGTGAAAAATGGCTTTTTTTACTACATCGGCCAAAAATTACCACTTTAGGTCAATAATATTTAATATTAACCTACACATAGTTTGCATAAATATTTTTTTATTGTTGCTGTAGTGACAAGGTTTACCTAAACACATTGCCTGCTTGAGATTTGTTTGTACAATAGATGTTGACTATCTCTGTGGAGACTTTCAGCAATTGATGTGCTAATTAATATAGTAACAGATTTGTATTAATAACAGATATTATAATTTGTCCCACTGATGTAACAACTATTCCCTCAGCCATGGTACATGTATCATCAGAAAGACAAATCTCAATATCTCACTTGTATGAGTAACTACAGTGGTGATGATAATGGCACTATCAGGGTGCAATCAGACCCATTCAAAAACATAAGCACCTGTAATCAATTAACCAATTGATTCTTCCAAGGTCTTGCCTGTGGTATTCCCACCTAGGAATCTGTATCTATGTTTATTTTTGTGTTCAACATGCCCAAGGAACAACTAATGTAGAATTTGATTTCTGGTCCTATTTAGCATGGGTCAGGCCCACAATGTAAAAATCATGTCAAATAACCATGTTTCGTGACTTTGCTGCTAAATGTGGGGAGTTTTTCAGAATAGGTGGGCACTTGACCTGAAATACAGATATCAGACATCTGATCAGGTATATATGTAGATGTATACATTCATAACAATCAACAATATAAATTTAGTTTCAAAATGCAGGCAAGTTATATGCAACAAATTCCAAAAAAAAAATTAGGTTAGAAGGGTTTACGTATTAGTGATAGACAAAACCAATGTTATTCTTCAGAAAATAACTAAGTAATATACCGATACAGTGAATGGATTGTAACTGTATTAGTTCAGTCATAGATAAGGAACACATGTTATTTCAATGAAATGTATATTGTTTATAACTGCAGCATACCTTTTTTGATGGAACTTGTTGCCATGGATATGTACAATTAGTGTTTTCAATTAGTAAAACTAGACATTGATATAATTCCAATAATAGACATAATCCTGCGGCACATCAAAGAAAATTTTAAAACCTTTAGACCGCAATAATTCCATAATAGACAAATTGTATTTTGCACATGTTGTTAGGACGGAATCATAGCGTTTTTCAGTACATTTTGTTCTCACTAAATCCCTTGCGGTAGTTTGCTAGCATTAACCATTTCTCCACCAGACTTACTTGGCCAAATTTTGTCTTCACTTTTTCTATATACTCTTCAATACTTCAGGAAATGAACCCTAATTTTGGAGTCGACAGAAAAATTTGAATCGAATTTCAGTTTTGCTCAAAAAAAATTGGCTATTTGTGTCCCATTATTCTGATGGAAAATGCAGACTATAAACAGTTTTTTTTTTTTTTTTTTGTGATGAAAAGAGAGAACTGCTGGTGAAAAGGTTAAAAAAAACATACGTTTGTACTCAAAAATCCAGCAAGAGGGTTTGGGTTACTGTAGTGTTCAAACTTCTGAAATACAAATATATGGTCACCGACTAAGTTTTCCACAAAACGACCTTGAAAATTGACCAAAGTACATGTGACCTACATGTATGCTAAAAAAAAATTATATGTAGTGTTATAAAGGTTCCATACACTACATGTATGGCTGTCACAAAAATTAGAGAATTTTAAATATTAGTATAAGTTGGATAATATGGATTTCTATGAAAAATGTACCAAAATGGTTGCTTTTTGGATTATTTTGCATTTGATTTTTTGAAAACACACCATTTTTTTCTCTGTAAACATGTGAATGACGTGCATGTATGGGAATCACCACACAACAATCTTCGAAAGATTTACTGGCAGAGAACTCCTAGCCAATTCAAATTTATACTGTCACAATCACAATTTAAAACTACCGATAGTTAATGTTTTTGCTATGACTTGTGTTCCTGGCTTTTCTGCTGTGGTCAACTAAAAGTGTTCTGTAATAAATAATTTTTTATGTGTATAATTAACTTTTTTATAACAATTTTATGCATTTGCTGAAAATGTCCATAATTATACCTGGTATTAAGTTGTTGAGTTCTATGACATATAAGAATAGGTGAATTAATTAAGCGTTCAAATATTTATAATGTATGTGAATATATATATATATATATGTATGTGTATTGTACATATTATAAGTGTTTTAAGTTATTATTAATTTAGTTATTAAATTAATATTTGCCATGCTATTCTCAGGTAATAGAGCTCCTCCTGTACAAAGTACACCAGGTTTTTAGAATAGACCATTTCCCGTTCACTGCTAATCCCGCGTTATGCGGGAAATCAAACGTAAAACAGGACAAACAAAGGTCATATCGTCGTAGTGGCGACGAACATCGCGTGAGATTGAACAACGCAAAAGTATTTTGGAAGATATTCCCATGCTCAATAATGTGCTGTACACATGTTATGATGGTCAATTTCGATTAAGTAAGGGTGTTCAAACTGAATATTTCCCTGTCAAAGATAAGCCTTTCAATTTGAGCAAAGTTTTTGCGGAAGACGTTCAGTGTGCGTCTTTCACACAATTCGTGAGATCTCGCATTTGTATAGAAAATCACCTATTATAAACAACTTGATGACTTCTCTATATCTTGGATGTTGTACATAATCAGCTGGTGATCTTAATACATTGCATTGTGTGTCAACTGATCTTGAAATCAATACTCCTGATACCTATAACATTTCAATATTTAGTCTGGGAAATTGCACTTTTTATCTGCATCTCAGTGTTTGAAGTGTTTGGTTTCTTACACTGGCATGCATGTTGACCTGGGATGTCACTAGTTTTTTTAAGTTTTAGTAAAGTTCAATTGAGAATTTAGGAAAGCAAGATATGACAAGCATTTTCCATGTAGATGGAGGTGTATAGATGTATAATGTCAATTTTATATTTTATAGTTTTCTAGTTAATCCATGAATATTTTTTTCACAAAAACACATTAAGAGAAATAAAATATAAAAATGTCTACAAGTTGTTGTATCACCAGAATTGTTTTATTTGGGCATAAGAGCAGAAATTTAGGGTAGCCATAGAAATTTCTACATAAAAAAATTGTCTTTTCTGCTAGTAGTAAAAGTAGTAAATTAAATAACTGAACTAATTTGCAGAAAATAAACTTTTTGATTTTCTTAAAAATATTGGGTACATGTAGGTAGGGAAACAAAGAATTTATTTTATTTGGCCTTATGAGTTACTCAAAATGGTAAGACTGCACATACATAACCCCAGCACACATAGAAAATTTATCTTGGTATACAGCATGCACAAATATTGAAACTCATCATCGATACTGGTTGTTGATATTATAGAATGGACCAGTTGTTTCATTATCATAACTTTTTTTCATTTTGAGCATATTTTATTTTTATCATTTTGTTCTCTGATGATGAATTTCGGAGTTTATAAAATCTTGATTATAAATCTGCTTGTTGTTTCCCCCGAGTTGAAATTTTAATCCTTCAGTTTCAGCGAGAGATGGCAGTCAAAATAAAGTTATGCAATGCAATGCTATAAAACTAAATCTGAAGGTTATCAAGATAATTTTTTCCTAAAAGAGTAAAGCATCTGTCATCACGCAGTGCACTTTTGAATTTCTTGTGGACAAATAATGTATTTTACATGCAGTGATGCACCTGGATGGTTTTTCCTGATATATAAACATTTATACTTTTATTCTGCAGGTAGCAGGCGTTTTAATTAGACTCTTCATATGATTCATGATCAACAAAAAACTTAAGGTAAGTATATTTAGCACCTAGAAACATGTATAGTGTGTATAGTTCTGAAATCTCGTCAGTGTTGTCTATCTATCTAGGTGTCACTCAAGAGCTTAGTATACTGAAATTTTATTCTGTTGTTTGAAAATAAATGTATTGTATACTAAAGTATTATACTGTGTGACCATGCTAATTACATGCCATATGAAGCTGCTCTTCTTAGGACAGTCACTGTGGTGTGATGAGGAGCATGTCTGCTTGTATTGGCCAGTCACTTGTCAGAATCAGGTGTTTTAACCCAGTGTTTAGTTTTGTAATGTACCGGTATATACATGTATTGTAGCATACGTACATTGTAGCTGGAATTAATTTTCACTGAAAAGACTTTTTGAGTGTTTTCTATGGAATTTATTTTCACTAATTTTTGGCAAGTTGAATGTAAAATATAGGAAAAAATGCATATTCACTGGATTTTATTTTCACTGAATCTTTCCTTCAGCAAAAGTAGCGAAAATTAATTCCAAGGGAAAATATAGTATTTTATTTTATTTGTTTGCCTGTAATTACATTGAGCTTAGACTACACATATATTCTAAATCGATATCATGAATTTTCTGATTAAAATAAATTTACACAATTATCAATCAACAAATACATACTCAGATGGTTCACGATACCAGTAACTTCATATTTTTTGCATTTATAAACTGCAAAAAGATAAATGTGATTGTTAGTGTATGTGATTTGTTTTACTGAAATGTAATGGCTCATAGGGCCTTTGGTCTATAGCTAGATAAGATAATACAGTTATTAATGTCACTGATACAGCTGTTTTTAGTTCTCATAATTTGGGAAATGTCATCGTTAATCAGTACTGTTTTGTGCATGTTCTATGATGCTTCATTCATCAATGCCTTGTTTGCAGAACAATGGAGGTGGTAGCACCAAATATGAACATACCTGCGTTATGTCAGTTTAAACCATCAAGCGTGGAAGAAAACAAAATAGGTGAGTTGTGTAATGGAATTTCTTTACAAGCTGGATTTACTAGTTTCATTTTGTGGAATGTTGTGAGATGTTAACTGCTGGCATACAAAGGGTTTGTACATTTGTTATGTTTTGGGTTGTGAGTACATTTACCGGTACTGGTACCATTCAAACTAATTTAAAAACAGTTCATAGGCTGTTTGCTTTATGATTCAATCAAATGATCGACTGTGCTCAGGTCTTGCCTTTTAAAAATGCCTGAAGAGTGAAAAATAGTTTTTCTAAAACTACTGAGGTGAGTTATTGTGCTGAAAAATAACTTTGTATGTGTAGAATTTTTTTCTTAACTAGCACCTTAAAGTGCCTGTGCAATGCCCACCCTCACGTTTCCCATTTTAGATCTGTGTCCCACTGAAAAGGGTAGTTATTGATTTTTTTGCTGAAAATGATTACTCGTATCCAAGTAAACTTGGGATATTTCTCGTGTTGTAGCCACGCCCACCTATCGTGAAACGGTCGACTGTTTCCGGATTTCCGACTCTCGCCGAAAGTGCGCCACCAAATGACAAAATGTGAGAGGAAGTCATACACCCGAGCCGTAATAACACTGGTCGTTCAGTATACTTTTAAACGATATACATTTTTCGGTCGGCGTTTTTTTTTTTTTTTTGTCTATTTTCTTTTTTTTTTGAGAGAGAGTTTTTAGATGTTGTGTTGTGGGCAGTTGCAGTGAAACGTATAGCCATAGTGTATGTATTCACACGTTTCTAATCGATCCGAAGGTGCGACATCACTTAACCTTAGATTCATTCAACTGTCCTCGTCCATAAAAAAACGACTAGGTTTAAAGAGAAACACCGACAATGTAAACCTGGCGCAACACTTTTGAAAGAAATATATTCCGGACCAGCCCATGATCACCGAGGCGGATTTCAGAAGAGAGAGAGAGACGTCCGGCAAGTGTTTCAAATCAGTTGACTTTTTTTGCGATCCTGATTATCATTTTACAGAGACCATTT